GGTGTAAAAGGGAGTGACTAGGTATAAATACAATAATTAGCAGGTAAATATAAAGATGTCCACTTCACAGAAAACCCAGAAGCTGTATATTTCCGTGACTACATTTATTTACTGAAGCCATATATATTTTGATGGTTGCACATTCCATAAGACAAAGAAGTTCTACTGCGAGAGTTAATTTTAGCTTGAAAGGGAATCCAAACTTAATCTATATCACTAAAACCTCTTAAATGAGGACTTTGCCATTTTCCTTTTTACCCAAGGGTCACATTTAACTAGAGCTCTTTTGCTCTTCAGTCTTGGAATTATCAGATTAAAAGCTGTGGATTTCAAAAATATAACACTGAAGTAAGAATCCTAAGTACTGTCTTTAACATGCACACTAGTAATGTAGCCTTATTTATATTTTCACATTTTGTACATTTATGACAGTATCCATCATTTTTACCTTCCCTATGCACAGAGGAAGTAATGGGGGCTACAAGGTATACTGTTTTGGAACCAATCTTTTGAGTGGGAGCAAAGGCAGCAAAAGTACCATAAAGGTTTATTAGGACATTTTTAAAAGGTTCTAAATAAACGGATCAGTATAAGTGATTTTTTTTTTGTTCTCAGGTTTGCATCCATTCAGTGCAATAAGGATTTAGTCATGAAAGTGTACACCGATTGTATATAGTATAACACAAGGGAAGTGATTCATATGCCACATAATTATAACAAATAAACACTCCTCTCCTAAATGATGAGGTGACAGGAGAAAATATGGGCAGGCATAAAGCTTTAACTGAGTTTGACAAGGACAAAATTATGTTTCTAGACAACTGTTATGGAGCACAATTACAGCTGTGGTTCTTATTGTGTGCTCCCAAAATACAGTGGTCGTTACCAGAAGAGATCAATTTTATATAAAGCATTTGTTTTAATACCTCCTATATATTTTCATTTATTTTTGTCCAGGGTAATATTTTGTGACCACTAGTTTTCATCATCTAGTGCAGGTATATTTAGCTTCTATCATCTTAGGCCAGTGTCCCCACTCAGTCTCAAGATGATCAGATTTTTCACATAAACCTATCAGAACCCTATCAAGGTGTGCAGAGACCTGATAATTACCTAGTATTTGACTAAGAGGAGGGACAGAAATAAAAAAAAAAAAGAGCAGGACAAGGCTCTTAAAGGATGATTTTAAACATAACTGAAATCGTCATAACTTTTTTTTTATAAGGAATAAATGCAAATGGCTTTGGGGTTTTAACCAATCATTGCTGTAAGCATGAAAGAATCTCTACACAATTAGAGACACCAACACCAGATTACTTCAGGGAACTGCCAGTCAGCTGGCTGATAGAAGGCTATAACTGTTAGTTTGTTTTTAGATTACAGGAAAAAAAGAAAAAAAAAACAAATATGGATGTTTAAAACATTACTAACATCTCATTAAAAATAGACAATTGTGTTGAAAGGAGTTAAGTGCATATTGTACGCTTATGTCGATCAAACAGTTTCTCAATAATAGTTTTCAAGCTACAAACACCACCCCAGTAGAATACGGCAGACACATTGAATTATCATATACTGGAATGATATATTTTTATCTGTTGGAAAAATGTTCGCCTTTTGTACAGTAATAGTAAAGTGTTATCAGTTTTATAATCCATCAAGAATCTCATATCCTTCATTTCAGTTTAAAGCAATATACAAAGGTTAAACACTTGTCTGGCTTTTAACTGCCCTGTAATTTGGTTGGATGCTTCAGGACTATAAACAATGATGTTTACTTTGCAGAGAGAGGCAAAACATTTACTTAATCTTTGTGTCTTAGTGGTGTTTTGGATTTTGCACTTCCTTGGTCCATGACATAAACACCGCTTGTCAGCGTGGTATTATTTCACTAATCCTAGAAAATACCTGGTTGCAGGAAGCTAAGCCTGAACATGGGGAAAGTGACCTGCTGATGCCCCTGAACAGATCCTCTGTGCCTGGATCGCAAAATCATATACCTCTGTTGCTGTGGGGGAAATGGCAAACCTGGAAGCCAAGCTCATCTTACTATTTATGACTCAAAGCCTCCTCTGGATCGCAAGGGGGACGTGATGCATAAACCTGCCCAGTGGATTGCGTCACATTAAAATAAATGAATCCTTCCATTTCGAGAAGGAAATCTCATTAGAGTACATTAAGTAATTGCTGAAGTATATAGTAATTTGACTGTTAAGAGGAAAAAATGTGCATTGCTCAGAAGCACTCTAAAAAATTTAATAAACACTAAGAAATCTGCTTCTTGGGAGGAAAATCCTGCAGATAATTTGCTTTGCCTTTCTCCAGAAATCTGCCATAAGCACAATAGCAAGGCTTTATGCAATAGACCTCCTGCAACTCCATCAAATAAAGGACAAGCTGTTCCTTTTAGCATCATAGGAGATTCTGGTCTAATGATGCAGAGATTTGATGTTTACTATGTCCCATTTAAACAACTACACTGAGTGTTCATTATTGCGGTGGGCGTGCACAAATTGAGATGCATAAATTTCAGATTTTGTTCCTCGTGAATCACAGTCAAAAGGCTTTAAATTAGCATGTCTCCAATAGACAGGAACACAAAGGCCTTTAATTAGTCTCTAAGGTTCTACCACAATATATAAATCAGACACTAATTGCAGCTGTTTCCATAATTTGTCCTTTGAGGACTTTGTGGATCATCTGCATTCCAAAGCCAAAGAAGGATATATGTGAATAGCTGATGATTAAAACTTTGACAGCATGGATCAGCTAAACTTAGTACAGCTCTGCAGACAATTACTCCTGTTTTTAATCATTGCCATAAGGTTTGTTTCTTAAGGCTTTGCTTACAGTAAGTAACTGCAGAGGCCAATAATCTGTCACTATCAACTCTATTACACGTATAATTTTGAACACACACACATCCAACTCTGGATGGGCGTTTTGAAACGTTTTCTGAAACAAAATTCCCTTTGTCTTCAATTTAACCTTTTTTTGTGGATGCCATGACCCTAATCACTAAGAATTAGAGCAGACATCATTCTTTTGTTTTTTCTTGATGCATTTACTTCTGAGGGCACTAACTGATACTTGCTACCTTTATAAAATTGGGCTGTATCCTGAAGGTGAAAATATGCAGCACTGTGGTATATATATATATATATATATATATATATATATATATATATAT